TTTTATTAGATATATTTATTAATTTTTATTAATTATTATTTTTTTATTTTATTTTATATTTCATAAATAATTACTAATATATTTTTAATATATATTATTTTATTTCTTTTATTTTTTATTATTTAAATATGGTAATATTATGTTTTATAAATAATTTTAATACATTAATAAAAGGAATAAAGAAGTTTTAAATATAAATATTTTTATATTTATAACATAATTTTTATTTTTTAAATAATAAAATTTTTTTTAAAAATATCTTTTTTTTAATTCAATATTTATTTAAATATAATTTTTTCTTATATAAATATTGTTATGTTTTTAATAAAATCTATTTATTTTAGTTTTTTTCCTATACTATAATAACTTTTTTTTTATTATTTATATTTTTTTTTATATATTTGTTCTTAGTATTTTTTTTATTTATTGAATTTTTTTCATGTATTAATATTGTAATCTTTTTTTACATATTATTTGAAAAAAAAAATATTTAATATTTCTTATTTTTTTTAACAATAATATAATATAATATAATTTTACAATACAATTAATATTTTTCTAGAACAATATTTTAAATTTCTAAATAAATTTTATTTTTAAATAATTAACATTTTATTTTATTTTAAATTTATTCTTATTTTTATTTTATAATATTTTTGATTCAATATAATTAATCATTTTAATTATTTTATTAATATATTTTTAATTTGATAATAAAAAAAAATTATAAATAATTTTTTTATATATTTTAATCTTTTAAAGTTATCTTTGAATTTAAATATATAATATTTTGAATTTTTTTTTTAAAAAAAAAGAATAAAAAAATTAAAAATTACTATAATTATATTTTTATAATATAAAGATATATAAATTATTATTAATTTGTTTAAAAATTATGAAGTCTACTTTTATTCATTTTTATATGCAAAAAGATATTTAAAAAGCAAAATTAATATATTTTTTATCTAGTTTAATTAAATAAATTTGCATTAATCTATAATTATTTATTTTATTAATTTAATTGTATATAAAATTAAAAGTAAAAAAATTTTAATAAAATTTTATATTTTTATTTTTTTATAATTATCTAACTAATTTTTATTTATAAAAAATAGAAAACTATTACTATATAATTTAATTCTTTTATTAAACTAAAAAAATATAAAGTTAATTATAAAGAAAAAATTTTTAAAATAAAGAATAAATCATAACTTAAAAATTTAAAATAATTTTTTTAAAAAAATGTTATTTTTAAATAATATAATTACAATATTTTTTATTTTATAATTTAAATTATCTTAATAACAAGAAAATGAAAAGCCTGTAGGCTATTAAGAATGTTATGATTACAATAATTAAATAATCTAACTAATTCTTAATAATTAAATCAAAGAAGCTATTTCAAATTCAGCATTCTTTTTTTATTCAGGAAATAATGTTAATGATATGGGTGATCCTATAGCTTGTAGAAACAATAAAAATAGTACATTTTTACGAATGACAGCCTAATTAATATAAGGATTTCCTATATATATAGGATTATGTTTATATAATAAATGTAATGCTGCAGTAATGAACGAATATTATGCTGAAATCCTTCCTTAATATAATTAAATTGCAACTATATTAAATTAATAATATCACATATAATTACCTTAATTAGACTAAAGTACTATTAAATTTACTCCTTACTAAGATTAATAAACACATCCATCTACAAATAATGCTGGTTTCATTATTGCAGTATTAGTCGTTTCTTTATGTGTATTAGCTTGCTTTTTAGCCCCTATATTAGAATATTTATAAAAAAATTAAACTAATAAATTAAAAGAAATAAATGAGAATTTAATATTATAATAAAACAATAATAATGAAATTATATAACAAAGAAAATAAAAAGAAAGTTTTTTATTTAAAATATTAAACTGCTGGAATATAAAAACAAATATCTAAAAAATGTTCACTTTGAAAAGTAATAACGATGATCTTTTAATTTTTAACGGTATAAGAACCATTTCTTTCTTTTAAGTAATCCTTGGACATGAATTTTACCTACATGTTAATTATATGCCAAATATTAGCGATATTTAAATTATATCTAATTAACCTTTTATACTTTTTATTTATGGATGCTTATATTCTGTAGATACCTTTTTTTGGCTTGGAGGATTTTTTGTAGCTTACGTAGCTGCAGATCCTAAGAATTTAAATTAATTTAATCTAAGATAACCTTTTAAAGCTTTTCTTGGATTAATTTTTGGAGTGGCTAATCGTATTTTTAGAATTCTCCCTTGTTATTTAATTGCTATACTAATTTATTGGTAAATTGTAAACCATTTTGGCTCTTCTCCTACTTGGGATCTTTTTGTAAATTTAGCAAATAAATGTTATGATAAATGGTACTTAAAAATATTTTTCATAGATAATTTATTCGATAATGGTTAATAATGCTTTGGATGGGGATGGTATTTGTCGAATGATTTCCAAATGTTTTTAGTTTCAATGATTATGATAATGGTATATGCAACAAATAAAAAAGCAGGAAAAATAATGATTTTATTAATTACTGGAATATTTATAGGTGTAAGTATTTATTTATCTTTTTATTATGAAATTTTGATTCCTTGTTGTTCATAAAAAAGTGCTTTAAATAGTAATGTGTTTACAAACTATTATGTAAAGCCATGGACTAGATGTCCTCCTTATTTTTTAGGACTTTTTTTAGGAATAATGTATAGAGAATATTATTAAGATAAAAATAAAGAAAATAAAATTTCTTTTATTTCCAAAATATAAAACTCATGTTAACATACTTGGATTAAATGGATTTATTACATAATTTCACTTTCAATTATTGGAGGAATTGTTTACGGCCCAATATTTTTATAAGTTAATGGGTAATATTATTGGCCTTTAAATGTATAATATTTTTGGTCAGGCTCATCTAAAATAATTTATGCTATTGGATTAAGTATATTTATACTTCCAGGTATTTGTGGATCCAAAGATTTAATTGTTAAAATATTGAGTAATAAGGGATTTGCTTTTATTGCAAGACTTAGTTTTTGTGGATATTTAATTCATTTTATAATCCTTTTATACACATTGTATGGTTTTGAAGATTCTGTTTATTTAGATATCGAGAATATGATTTATCTGTTTATTGCTGAAGCTTTTTTTAGTCTTATTGCTGCAGCAGTTTTATCTTTACTTATTGAAATTCCTATAATGAATTTAGCTGGTATACTTTTAAGGGGCAAAGTTTAAGAAAAAAAGAAAGATATTTAAAAATAAGTTGAATGAAAAATATTATTAAAATTAATTATTGATAAAGAAATTGGCAAATTAATTAAAATTAATAATTAAAAATATAAAAATATATTTTTTTATTTAGTTTTTTATTTTATAAATAAATATTTTATATCATTTTTTATTTTATCTAATTTCGCTTAGAAAAGAGAAAAAAAAAGTTCAGATGTTAATATATTAAAATTATATATATTTTTATTTTTTCATTAAAATTATATAATTAATTTCTATTATTAATAAATATAATTCTTTAATATTATTGCTTTAAACAAATCTTATAATTAAAATATTTAAAATAAAATTTTATTTATTTTAAATAAATTCAATATATTCATTTTAACTTATTTTATTAGAAGTTTAATCTATTTTATAAAAATGATTACATGTAATAATTTCTAATGTTATAAGAAAATATGTAATCAAATAACTAAATATATTTATTAATAATTATTTAAAGATAAATAAAATAAATATTAATTTATATAATATGTTTTTTTATAAATATTAATTATAATATAAGAATTTTTTATTTAATTTTATAAAGTATATATATATAGATTTCTTTTTTTTAAGTTTTAAAATTTTCTCTTAAGATTTTCAATTTCCTAGTTTATTATCTAAGTTTTATTTTTTAAATGATTAATTTAATAAATACATTTTATTATTTTTGTAATAATTATAATTTTTTCTTATGTTTTATTTTTATATTTCTTAATATATCTTTAATTATTATAAAATAAGTAATTAATTAATAATTTTATATTTATTAAATAGAAAATATATATTAAAATTTTTATTTCATTCTAATTATATAAGAAATCAAATTTAAAACTATTAAAAAAAATATATAAAGCATCAATAAATTAACAAATATTATTTAAATTAATTTTAGAATATATTTTTTTAAATTATTTATTAAAATAAATAAGATATAAAAATTAATAAATATTTATTTATATAAAAAAATATAATTTAAAATTGTTTATTCATATTAATTATATATATTAATAAAGTTTCTATATTTTTATAAATGAATTATATAAAACAAAAAAGAAAATTATAATATTTTATATATATTAATTTTTATTTTTTATTATAATTATGTATATTTATTTATCATTTATTTATACTTAAATATAATAATCATATTTAAGTATGAGAAAATTGGAATTTATATATATTTTTTTTTCATAATTATAACTTCTATAAATAATTTTATGGTTATTATGTTTATTACTAATAATTTATTTTATCTTAGATTAACTTTTAATAGAATTAATTTTAATTATCATCATTTACAATAAAGCTTGAAATAAAGTCACTTTTTTCTTAAGTATTAGTAATAGGCGATAAATTTTAATTTTAATTATTTTTTTTATTAGGAGTATTATTACCATTATTAATTATAACATCGCATTCATTTATTTTCTATGAATCAGAAGAAGCATTATTAGATAATTATGTTGCTATTTATTTTTAAATAATAGTAGTTTCAGTTTCAATTGAGTTTATTTTATTTATTTACTTTAACAAATCTAATTTCATTTTAAGTTTAACAATTTAATCCTAATATTTTTATATTTCAACATTTTTGTCTTCATAAGCTTTTTTATAAAGATTTTTCTCTATTTCTATCTGTTTACATTTCTTAATAAGTAATATATTTACTTATTTTAATTTATTTATTTCTTATTTATCCTTTTAAAATAAAAAATATTTTTTTTTACTAATTTATATATTTTTACATCAGTTTATTCAATCGTTTATATTTTTTTAATTCCTTTTTTACAACAAATAATCTTTCCTGCTTAGTTTTAATCATTATTTTATTAAAATTCATTAATTTATAAATTTTATTATTGAATTTGTTTTTTTTGATTTTCCATTTGTTTTTAAATAATATTATTATTATTATTTATGTTTTTTTACTAAGTTTTAAAGTCATTTGAAAAATATTACTTTACATCTAATATATTTGAAGAATTTCGCTTTTATTAAGGTGAAATATATTGTTATTTTATACAGTTTATTTATTATTAGTTATTATAATTATTTAGATTTTCTAATTTAAATATAATTATTTTTAAGAAAAAAATAAAATTAACAATTAATTAATTAAATGAATATTTGAAATTATATAAAAGTACCTTTTTATGTATTATTTTAATAATAAACATTCTTAAATTATTATTTTATATGATTATTTGTATTTTATAAGGTTTTATAATTTTTATTTTCAACAACTTCAGTAAATAATTTTTGTTGCAATTTTATAGTTTTAAACTATAATCATTAAAAAAACAATAATTAGTGTTTAAATGATTAATATTAGATTATTGAACTTTAAATTATTCTAAATTAGTCGCTATATTAATATTAAATTATATTTAAAAAATTTAAACTGGATTTTTACTTATAAAGGCATTGTCATCTTTTTATTTATTTAAATTTAGTTATAATGATTATCTCAATATATCGTTTTCATTATAAGTAAAAGAGTTTTTTAATTAACTGTTTCTTTTATCTTATGAGAAATTTCTTTTTATTTCATTAGCATTTTTAATTTCATCTTTTATAAATTAATATTTTTTTTATTTTATTAATTAATGGGGATCTAATTAAAATTGGTATATTGCATTTAAATACTTAAACTATTTTTTTACTTTCTTTTATATTTTTATATATATTTTTTTAAAAAATAATAATAATTTTATTTGCTTTGTTTGTATGCTATTTTTTTATATTATTTTTTCTTTAATTACGCAAAATATTATAATATATTTGTTTATTTAAAATTAAATGAAATTATTTAAATATATATTTGTTTATTTTTTAATCATATTACGGATTATATGAAAAATTATTTTTTTTACTAAATTAAATGTAAACAGTATGAAGGAATTAAAATATAATATAAAATATAATTAAATAAAATTAAATTAAATGTTTTAAAATTAAATATTTAAATTTTATAAAATATATAAATATATATATATATTAAAATTTAAATGCTATTTTAACTGTAAAATATTAGTAATTTTAAAAGAAAAATAATAAAATTATTTATTATCAATAAATATCAAAAAAAAAAAATTTAAATAAAAAGCAATATAAATTTTTTATTTAATATTTCATAAAATTTTAATATTAATAATTTATTTAAATTTATACATTTAATAATAAGAAAAAAAATTATTATAAATAAATTACAAATATTTTTAATAATAATATAATTTAAATTCTTTTATATAAAAAATTTCTTTATTTTCAATAAAAAAACATATTATTAAATATCCAAAAAATTTATATAGATTTGTTTATGAACTATAAATTATCAATATTTAAAAAAAATAGATTAAATAAGTATTATTTAATAAAATAAATATATAAATAATTAATATATATAATTTTATAATTATTAATTAAATATAATACATAATTAAAAAAACTTAATATTTATATATATATATAATATTTAGATTTTATTATTATAATATTTTTAAAATAAAATTATTTTTTATTTATATATAAAAATAATAATAGATTATGTTTAATTTTGAAAAAATAATAAAATTTGATAAATTTTAATTTATATTTTTTATTATTTAAATTTATTAGTTAGATTTAATTTTTTTTAAAAATTTCTTACTAAAATTATATTTATTTATGAATATTA